TCTGTTGATTGCCAAGTACATTTCTCCTGCTGAGCGAACAGAGGCAAACAACGCTGGTGCAGGTCGTATGTTCTACTGCCTCATTCCACCAATCTACTTTTTGTTATGTTCATAGTAATGAGTAGAGGCCGAATAAATACATAATGATGGTATGCTAAGAATGGCTGAGAACATAAGCACCCTGAAAGGAAAGGGGAGATGGTAAGGTCAAATAAAAGGAACATGAGGTGGTTATATTATATTATAATACAAACAATTGGTACTTTAACTCACTCACTCAGTCGATCACTCTCTCTCACTATATGTCTTTCTCTGTCTCTCTGTCTCTCTGTCTCTCTGGCTCTATGTCTCTTTGTCTCTGTCTCTCTCTCTGCCTCTCTCTCTCTCTGTCTCTCTCTCTCTGTCTCTCTCTCTGTCTCTCTCTCTGTCTCTCTCTCTCTCTCTCTCTCTGTCTGTCTCTCTCTCTCTCTCTCTCTCTCTCTCTCTCTCTCTCTCTCTCTCTTACGTCCCCAGTCGCTCGCTTCCTCACTCTATCACTGTCTCGCTTACATACATGCACGTGCACATATTATTCATACCCATTTATGAATACCGAAGTCACCTTGTAGAGGCACATTTTTTTCAGCATTTTCTTTTGCGAACGAAAAGCGAAATAATTTGTGAAAGCAACGAAATAATACATTCCCCCATAAAACAAAGCAAAACAACAACAACAATTACAAACAAAAAAAATAAAATAAAAGTAACCATCAACACCATCACCACCACCACCACCACCACCACCATCATCAACAACAATAAACGTAAGCAAACAATGCACAAAACAAACAGATAAAACAAGCATACACCCCCCCCCCCCTCCTCAAACAATGAAACAAATAAAAAGATGACTATATTAAAACCGCTGGGTGTAGAGCAAGACGTTCGGGCTTTACTGTAGCCGAAACATAATATTCATTAGCTTTTTAAAGCAATTAAAAAAAAAACCCACAAAAAAACTGACGTTCTATTACCAGCTCGCGGAGAGACGGAGTCAGGTGACTTCTAAAACCAGTTTCAACAAAATGCACCAGTTTCCAAAGCTGATTGATCTTAAACAGGATTCTAAATGAGTCACGTCATGCCCCTTTCACTCACAAAGTGCGAGTATTTGTATTTCACAGGAACATCGTTTCCTGTGCCTTACTTAAATTATGTGTCCATTCGCTTAGCTGCATGTTTGTTTGTCTATTTTAAGACTTTGAAGAAAAATGATCATCATCATCATCATCATCATCATCATCATCATCATCATCAGCATCATCATCATCATCATCGTCATCATCATTGTTTGGTAAGCAGAGTAGGAGGGAGAGTCTTGTTTTAATTTTAGACAAAATAAAATAACAATATAAAATGTTTAAATGTGTTTAATAGCTCAACGTTTCGCCTCGTGGGCTTCCTCAGGAGCAACTGAGAGAAAAACTAAATGAGCGCTGTATACTAGCAGGGAAATGGGCCTACCAAATTGTGGTTAGAGGCTAGACGGAAGTGACTAAGTGGGTGCCAGGCCAAGGGGCTAATTGTAAAGAAATTGATGCTAGTCATCACAGACATCAGTTGTATCTCTACGAGAGGCTGACAGGAAGTTAATTGTGTGAACGTTTGATGAAAGAGGAAAATGTATAGAGGCATCCCAGTTGGAGGCAAAAGGAGGAGACAGAAGAAGGGTGTGTATGTTTGTGTGTGTGTGTGTGTGTGTGTCATCATCATCAGCAGCATTATTATTATTATCTATAGCATGTTCACTTTCGTGTGACCGATGAACAAGATAAAATGAAATCACCCTGTTTATTCTTCTCATGCCTACTCGTTTAAAAGTTGGGTGGCAACAAAATCTATAAGCTTATTTGTAAAGGTCATCATCATCATCATCATCATCATAATTCATCGTCATCATCATCATTAGTGTAGAGTGAAAAACGATACATTTGCGACTTGGCTACATTTCAGTCACTCTAAGTGTATCTAAAACAGTTTAATAATAATGATGATGATCATCATCATCAGCAGCAGCAGCAGCAGCAGCATTATTATTATTATCTATAGCATGTTCACGTTCATGTGACCGATGAACAAGATTAGATTAAATGAAATCGCCCTGTTTATTCTTCTCAGGCCTACCCGTCTAAAAGTTGGGTGGCAACAAAATCTAAAAGCTTATTCGTAAAGGTCCTTGCAAACTAAAGTTCTGACATGTTTTCAAAAGCGGGTTAAAAATGATAGAGGATAATAATATGTAACATACACGTGAAACTTTAAAAAGTTAACATATATTTCTAAACACCATACATTAGTGTACACCCAAGAAACACGGTGCAATAGACCGGTGAGTGCTTTTTGAGACTCGCGTGGACACTTCTTGACAGTTATGGGATCTATAAAGTTTACACTGGAATGTAGAGGCATCAAGATTTTTTAAAAACATTTTCTCGCTGGCTGTGCAAAGTTTCGAGGGCATAGGTAAATCAAAGAATAAGCTAGAATATTTTTAAAGCTGACAAACGAAAGTGAACAAGCTTGGCCTAAACACATTAACTACTCACAAACGACATAAACAAAGACTTACTTCAGAAACAGCAGCTCAAAACAGGAAACAATGTCGAGAGACTGTGACTGAGCGCTGAAGCCTGTAGAAATCCTCCCAACACAACGCTCACCGCCTCTGCACGTTCACTACGATTTCTCGTCTTTATAAGGCGGGCCGAGCCACCAACCAGACAAGAAAAAGCATAATTATTTAGGCAGGTAGAAAAAATAAAATGACCCCCCCCCCTCCCCCAACCCCACCCAATTCCCCCTTTCCCTAAGGACAGAAAGCCAAACCCGAAATCTTATTGATAAAAGAGCGCTGCCTATTGTCAGCCAAGCATTCGTTGCCCGGCAACACTAGCAATGGCAAGAAAAGCTGGTAATCTGATTAATTTCTGATCCCGACCATGATATCGCGAAACTCTTGTAGGTATGTGTGTATATAGGTATGTTTTTTTGTATTTCGTAAGTCTTTTGCAGCGCTTTTAACTATGTTAAGTCATATGAGCGCGCGGGACACAGTAAACTTTTTCAGTTCGGTAAGAATTAATTTTGAATTTTGCTCAGGCGGTGGCTTGAGCCTGCTGATATAGATTTTAAATCACCAAGGGATCTTTAACATGCGCAACTTGCAGAGTTTTTTCACCCATATCCGAGAAGGCTAGATGTTAGATCTTACCTAACCTAGGATCAGGAGTGTATGTATGTATGTATGTATGTATGTATGTATGTATGTATGTATGTATGTATGTGTGAATGTGTGTATGTGTGTATGTGTGTATGTGTGTATGTGTGTGTAAGTGCGCGCGTGTGTGTGTGTATGTGTGTGTGTGTGTGTGTGTGTGTGTGTTTGTGTGTGTGTGTGTGTGTGGATGGATGGATGGATGGATGGACGGATGGACGGATGGTGGATGCGTGCATATAGGTACGTACGTAAGAATGCAGGCAGCTCCCAACAATCTTGAGACATTCAGACAAACAGACAAACAGGCAGAGATAAAGATAGAAAAACGTGTGATTATAATATGGGAAGAAAACCTAACTCGAAAGACAGAATCACATACAGAATGAAATGCAGAAAATCAGATCGAAGAACGAACAGAAAAACAACAGGAGAGTTCAACATTATAGTCCTAGCTAGATGAAATGATAGGTAGCTAGAAAAAAGATAACACATATCACACACGATTTTCCCCGTTGGCTAGTTTTTCAAACCGAGACGCAATAGACCCTGATTTATTTCTTGAGGTTCGTTTGATATTTGGCGAAACGAAGTGGCTGCTCATCGATTTTCTCAAATTCCCAGCGGCCAACAGCAGTGATCGCTGCAATTGTTTTAGGCTCAGTTGGGGTTACCGTGCCCTTGAAAAAAACCATCTCGTGACCAGAGCAACTAAATATTATTAGTTATTTATAGTGAGCTTTGATTTTCGCGTAAATAGACTGGATGCACTAGGTATATAATTTGGATTTGTCGTGCCTTTAAAAACATTTCTGGTCAATCTTAATTATAATTTTCATTACACTTGTTGTAGGTTTCTTTTGCCTGTGCTGCGCTCGAAAACATTCCCAGTCAATATTAAATAAAGTTGAAAATAAACGATCAAATTCCGAGAAGTGGTTACTGGCATGGATATACAGATCACCCATGGCGTTAAGATTTTTGTTGTAATAGCTGCTAAGCTGGTCTTATTGTCTAAACTTTTTAAAATAGTTGATTTGTTTACGATTAACTAACAATCTCTTAGTAGATTCAAAGTATATAGATCTCCATGATTAATATTTTAAAAGTTGATATATTGCGCTTCTGAATTTGCAGTGCAGGAAGAAGATTTTCCTCTCAGACATGACTTGTTACTTGTTGAATTAAGTGAATGAGTACTAAAGGTGATCGAGTATCGCTCACTTCTGTATTCAAGATACGAAATCGCCCCCCCCCCCCTCCTTCCAATTCCCCTTTTATTTCAGAGCGTATTTTTTTTACATGAGGCCGTGGTGGCAAATGTGGTCCCACAGAAAGTGTTGACCACGGATGTGCGTACAAATTTTTTAAGTCAGTTCCAAAAAAGGGACTAAAATTGACTTTTACAGAAAGTGGTAAAGTTTGGGGTGACATCAGCACCTCTTCGTGTTTGATAGTACAATGCATTTCAGGCTGTTACGCATCGTTTCGTACACTATGAGAGTAAGGGGTAAGATTTGTTTTGAACGTTCTTCCATTTGAGATACTTAATGAAAACGTGGTTAGGGGTGTAGTTGACGACGTATATATTATTATCATTGGGAGTAGAGAGGTGGGAGCGTTTTGGCCACATAGTTGTGAGTGATCCTTCTTTGTTTTACTGTTTCTTTCCTCTTGTGTCGTTAGAAGTTGAGGGGGGGGGGGTGCAATTTCGGTCAAGGGCTAGGTGGGTGGCTTCTGTGCAGAT